CGCCAGCTGGGTGCACGAAGAACAGCCTACCTATGAGACTGAACTGTGAATCAGAGCACTAAAACACCATGCCTAAACAGAGCTCCATGCACTGGCCCAACCAACCATGCCATTCAACATCCTGTCAGTCATCAGAAAAAATATGTAAAAAGCAAGGAAGAAACATTTGCACAAGTCACACTTGAGCAATAAATAGCCAGGCCTCAGGCTTTTACAGCGCTACTGGCAGCCTATTTGCCTAGCACCTGGCTTGGCAGTCCTTCACTGTACAACATTCCCTTTGACTAATACAAATCACTTGTACACAAGGGCAGCAGAAATGGGCCCACAGCAACCAATTCATCAAATCTTAAAGAAAAATTAAGAAAGAAAGAAAGAAAAATGTAGATCTGAATGTCAAAATACCACTCCATTAACAGCACTTCCATTGTGAGCCTTCGCACAGGAATGGATACCAACAACTGCTGTCTTCTTGGCAAATCTGAATGTGACAAAAGAGAGCTGATCTCTTCTATTGACTTGTTCCGGTAAGTTGAAAGGCAACAATTTATTTTTACAAAAAATATTAAGAAAATCCATGACCACACACTAAGAGAAGCACAATTGATTTGAAAACTCTTCTCTCAAAGCTCAATAAATTTGTCTCAAGGTGGAAACCCCCATCAGCATGATAGAAGATTGTTTCTGTGCATTTGAACAGCTTGGTTCTGACTGGTAACTAGACTAAAGTAAGATAGACAATGCTTGATTGACAGGGTTTTTCCATTTTTATATCTCCAGGAATGTTACAAGACATACACAAGTACCCCTGATAACATGAGGGCTAAACTGTAATAGACAGCCAGATTTGTAAGTCCTTGGGATACCAGATGACTTATGCAGGAATATTCCAATAAATTGTCTCTGAAATTGTGGCATGCTGCTTTGGGGAAGGATCTCATCAGTGTCCTCCCAGGAACAGAACTTTTGTTATTCTAAATTGCTCTAATTAGCTCTCTTCAGAGCCCTGTGGCTATAGCTATTAGATTTCCAACACAGCAACAACATTCTCCAGGCAACAAGATAGTTACAATATGTACCTTTCAAACTAGTTAGCAAAAAGCTATGGGAACTCAAAGGGTACTCTTTATAATCAGAGCAAGATGTATGATTCTGTATTTTCAGCCTAAGGAGAAACTAGGCAGAAAGTAGGTATTACACATTCTCTCCTGGGAGAGATTTCTTAAAATGTTTGCATTAAAAATTATAAATTCTGAATGTACAGATTAACCATTTTAATACTGTTCTAATTAAAAGAAAATAAGGTTATCTCCCACACACATCCCAACCTGCATTTCAGGATTTAAAGTTTCTGGATTCAAGTAATGATTTAATCTTTATTGTCCTCTGTCTGAAATGGATCCAGGGTGTAGCTGATCCTCAGTCTCAATAATCCTTATGGAGGAAATTTTTTTATTATTTTATACACAAGGATCAGTCCCTTAATTTTACACTAGACATCTTCCCACAATGGACTATGGAATACTATGGCTAAGTGGTCTTATCTGTGATCTTTTCTAAAGGGCACAGGTATGAATAAAAAGGTTTTCTTCACTGCTATAGAATTCAGTAACAGTCTTACAGCTAAATTAACATTTTTAATTCGATTGAGGTATTTCCTGGTAACTGGCCCAAAAGGTCACTGCTAGAATATTGACAAAGGTATTTTTTGGTATTTTTTTTCCCCACGTGCTCCCACCATAGCTCAATATTAGGTTCCGATTAGGATGACATATAACATATCTGATCGGACAAGATACAATACCCTTTTGCTTTTACCCTCAAAACACTAATAATACAGTTCATAGTGAAACACAAATGTAATGGCATTCTGTTTGCTGGTCAAATACCAGTAGACTATATCTTAGCATTAGGAGACAGAGCTACCTTTTTTATTTTAGAGAAACAGAAATGCCTTAATTTTTCATTTAACTTTTCAAGCACAACTCTTGCATTCATGGCATTTTTCATCTCGAAGGATTACAAGTCTCTTTACTACAAGTGCAATGTTAATAATAAAAAAAGACACTTCTCGTTCAGTTGACATTTTGAATTTTCAAAATATCACAGAAATTCCCTTGTGCTCTCTAAACAACCTTCTTGTAGGGTACTGAAAGATTACTACCCTTAATTTGTAGTTGTAGAAATGTGGAAATGAGGTTAAATAACTGCACAAGACCACAAAGTGAATCACTAGAGGAACGGGGAATCATATCCAGGCTACCTGATTCTATCACTAGTCCACAGAAATTAGAGGTTAGAGTCACTTTCAACCACATTGAGTTGAAAAGTAGCAGTGGTTAATGTTTTAGAATTCAGGATAAGCATTACTTATCATCAAATCATATTCAAACCCGGTATTTATGTGAAGAGCAAAAGACCGCTTGATATGGAGAGGACTGCTCAAGAACAAAACTATGCTTGTTATTGAACATCTGTGACTGCCAACCAGGTGAAGCAACAGATGCTGAACACTCCATTAGTTGAGTTTAAAAAGAAAACAACCCACTAGGTGGCACTACAATTAAAACAGAACAGACTGCAATAGTGTAAGTCAGAAGCATGAAAAAGCCTTTTTTTTTTTTTTTGTCAAAGTGGGACAGTACTTACAGCAAAGATCAGTCATGATGCAAACAAGCTCCACGTAAACTTGCATCCCCTTCTTTTGTGCTGCATATGCTGTTTAGTCTTGACCCATCAGTATCTGTGCTACCTGGGGGGTTTCTTGACAGCAGTTCCAAGTTAAGCAATTCACAGCAAAATTCATTTTCAGTGTGGAGTATCTTTAAAATTTGCTTGCAGAAGGCCTATGAACTGTCATTTGGGGTAAATGGGTCCCAATACAAGAGGAAACTTGTTTCAGAAATCTTGAGTCCACTGTATTTTACTCAGTTATTAATGAGACAAGCTGGCAATGGGCTTTTCTCAACCTTTTGTTATCAGTTCTGTGATTTTGTGATCGATCATTAATCAAGCACAACTTCCAAAGATGGTAGGCAGCAGAGAATGAAGAAAGGCTGAAATAGGAAGCTCCATCCTAAGGGTGTCAGGGCAAAACAACAGACAAGAAAGAAGAGACAGTCAGACTGCTTGTCTAGGTTTTGTAAGGAACCAATTATCCTTCCAGGAAACATTTTAATAACATCAGACCTAAATATCCACTTACCTTCCCTGTCTCATTTCTTCATGCCTTTCTGTGGGTATCATCCTTTACGGCTATTCAATATCCAGTTTTTCTCCTTGTTCTCTCTGATCCTTCCTCAGGATTATCAGCATCTTTAACAGATTTCCTCAATGACTTCTTTCAGTATTTCTGAGGATGAAGCTTGGAATTTGTGGCTTACCTACTTTCCAGAAAGCTGATACTGACAGCACTACAGCCACTCCATGTATGGACAGCACATGGCATACACCCTTCTTCTTTGCTGTGCTCTGTATAGGCAAGCCATTGGACTGTACTGGTGTCACATCACAAAACAGCAATCACCAAAACATAAAAACCACGGACTACAAACCCATTTGGTTTTTATCTTAGAGCTGTTGCCTGTTGTCACCCAAGAATGTTTATTGGTATGCTTCTAGCTCTTCCAATCTTTTCACAGGAGGAGAAATCCACATCCATGGAACTGTAGGAGACAGCGAGACTTCTTGGGATCTAACATTTGTCACAGTATGAGGCCACTGGCCTCATTATACCATATCCTGCTTTCTGCAGAGGCCATGAAGCGACACATCATAGACAAGCAAACCTGCCAAATAAAAGCCACACTGAAAACTTAGTGTGCTCTGCCAAAGTTTGAACTTAGCAAGGTCCTAACTTCTGCAGGATTCTCATGTGGCAAGCCAAAAATGTCTTCTGCAGCTTCTTTTTCAGTAATACTTTAATTATACACTTGAATATAACATTTACTGAATTTGGCTTATGGAATCTGCATCTTCTCTATCCTTCAAATTGCATTTGGAAAGTGCATCAATGCATGCAAAAATCAGGTTAACAGCTGTTGTTCAGGCATCTGTGAATAATCTAGCACTCACTTTGGGACTGTACGATAAATGCGTGACCTTGATTTTTTTTTCCCTTTGAACAGGGTAATGACAAACTAATTGACAACACTGCTCAAGTTAGGTCAACCAAGAATCACCGAGCAGTTTCCATAACCTCCAGTTACATGGGACACTTGCACAAACAGGTTGCACAAGCAGGTGGCCAAATTTGGAAGCCATGGATTAGAAATGTTATCCCTTTTAATGAAAGCTCAGGATTTTAGATCACAATTATCCAGCAAGATTGTATACAGCAGTTAGTGAGCATGTATAGATGCACATGATGAAAACCTCTATGTGGAGGTTCGCAGCCAAACTGTTGACAGACTACAAGGTACTACTGATGACAGGGTTTTTCAGCAGTTTTTTAAAAAAAATGAGCTGCAATCTTCAAACTTCTTCAGTCACAACTTGCACAGGAAAGACACGATCGTTAGACTGGACCACCTGCAGCCACCAAACTGTCTCCTCCAGCTTGCAGTGACCAGTTTTGACAGGGACATACCAATCCCTGACCTTAGCCAGTGCCCTGCTAACTCCCACAGGCTCTCGTTCCCGACATTACGTCTTAACACCCCACAGAAGGGCAGCGAGCACCCCAGCAGACCCTGCGTCGCCCGCTCCCTCACAACACAAAATGGCTCCCCCCGCGGCGCGAGCACCGCCCCCTCCCTCGCCTCGCCCGCGGCCACGCCCACCGGCACGTCACCTTCCGCCACGAGGGGGAGGCGAGGAGAGAGCTCCTCACGGGAGCGCTCCGCAACGCCCCGGAAGAGCTGTAGGCTCCACCCCCACCTCGCCTGTTTGGCCCGAGGCGTGCATCCGCCTTGCGGATCGGTCGTCGGCCGCGTCACTCTTAGCCTGCCCGCTCGCTGATTGGCGGCGGTCTCGCGGAGGCCCGGAGGGGCGGGCTGAGGCGGTCGGTGGGCAGGAAGGCGCTATGGCGGCGGTGGCCCAGTGCGTGCGGTCCGCGGTGCGCCCGCGGTACCCGCTGCTGAGCTTCTCCCTGAGGTGAGGGTCGCGCCGCGCCGCCCGGCCTGGATCGGGCGCCTCGGGACGGGTCCGCGTCCCGGTCCGGACTCGCCGTCTCGCCACCGCCCGCCCGGGCCGGGCCAGGAGGAGAGCGGGGCCCAGCGCCGCCGTGCCGGGGTGCTCCACCTGCCAAACCCCGGCCCTCCGGCTCTGCGCCGGGGAGCCCCTTCCTACGGCCGGGGCGGGCTGGTGCCGGCCCCCCCAGCCGCCCTTTGCTGGCTTCCCTTACCCTCCCCCGGGAGAGGGGCCCGGCCAGGCGTGGCGGGGCCCTCCTGGCCCCGTCCTGAGCCCGAAGGCCTCCAGGCCTGAAGTCCTGATGTGGTCTGCAGGGATCCGAGGCCTTTTGTCATTGCGGCACCGATCCACTCGCCTCGTCCGCGAACCGGTTTGCTCAGGTGGCTCGGTTAGTTCAGCCCAAGAAGCGTTAGGAAGGGATAAATAGTCGTCTTCATGGAGACTGGCCCCTTCTTGACGCGATATTTGCGATGGATACAGTAGTAACACGGAAGGCGCTTTTCTGTTGCTTGCTAGCAATCAGCCACAAACCACTGTTCTCGCTGGTGTGTTTTCTGGGAGACTGTTGCAGGTGATTGCATCACGTAAACTGTATTTGCTTCCTGATGGAGTACGGTGCTGAGAACGAGCTCATATTCCCCATAAAAGTGCTGCAATTTTATAAACAGAATATAATGGACACTTAGAAGCTGCTGCCCAGAGGTTGGAATCTTGCAGCAAAGTTATTTTTTGCAACCATTTAGATGGGCTAAGTTCAGTTACTTCTGATGAAACATTCTGCAAACAGTTTTCATAGACCTAGAATTGTTGTATTAATTTGTACTTTAATGTGAGAATTTTGTAGACATCGATGTGTCAAATAAAGTGTCCAGTATGTCCAGAAAAGGCTAATATCTTACAAAGTAAGCAACTGATTAATATTGTCCACATGTTTTTGCCTTAGGACTTCTCCACGACTGCTTTGTGTAGCAACACAACAGAAAAATACTGGCCAGAACTTGGAAGAGGACCAGAGTCAGAGCCAAAATGAGCAGAAGGTTGAACCCAGCTCTGCTGAAAAAATTTTAACTGAAGAAAAGGCCAAACTGGAAGAACAACTAAAAGAAGTCACTGTAAGTGTCTTTTGGTCATCAGGTTGCATACCTTACAAACCGCATACCTAAGAGCATTCATTACAGGTTCTCGGTGCACAATCTGGATACAGTTGTGTGACTACTGTTTAGTTGTTGAATAAAAACCTACAATTCAATAATTTCTTTAAACTTAAGAGTAGATGTGCTACAAGACCCGAGATGCATCCCTGGTCCAAAATTAAGATTTTGGATAGTTTCTTTCTGATTTCTGGATGGAATTGAACCTTGTCCAGCCTGAACATTTGTTACTGAGTTTTGCTGGCTTCAGTTCACTTAGGTTTTGCTCAATGGAGAAATAATTTTTGGAAGCCCATGGAAGGGTTTGACTGTGTCTTTGATGTGTGTATTTGTGTGTGCTAAGAGTAGGTAGGCTTTCTGAAAACAGCTGCTGACTTTTCAAAGGTCAGGGTTAATGATGCTTAGCTTTTATATAATAGTGTACTTATTACATACTTAGGAGGTTTCCAACCTCTCTTGGAGAGCCCTTCAAACCTTCTATAGAAGCAGCACCTATGGATCATAAGTGGATTGAGTTTCCTTTCTGTTGCCTTTCCCAAAGCACTGAAGAACAAAGCTGAGGTGTCACTTAACATCTCTGTTGACAGCATTTGCTATTGGCTACCTAATGTGGCTCTTCAGTCAACTCGTTGACTATTTTCATTCAGTTTTGAGATTCTTCACTAACATGTGAAGGTCAAGCATATTCAGAGTGGAAGGCCAACATGGAGTTCTGAGTTAGGCGGTGAAGCACTCAACCTCAAGTGCCTAAGTTTATTGAATTTCTTAGCACATCTGTGCTAGATGGCCATATTGCTAGGAATAGACCAGAACTTAACCTGAACAACAGAGGAGTTAGACTTCATAGTTCGTGAAGTCTGAAAAAACTGGAGGACCCTCTGTCGTATGTATGGAGAGGGAAGAGATGGTTTGAAAGTCATGGCTGGGTTGAATCTCGTTTGCCATAGTGTCAGAATACCTTATGACGGATGAAGGCTTTCTGTGAACGTACATCAGAAAAAGCAGAAATCTTTGATATTATGAAAACTTGATATATACATAGAGTTAAAAATTTCTTCCAGGTAATCTGTTGACAAATACTGAGAGTCTGGAAACCCATCTTATTTCCTTTCCCTCACTTCTGGCTGCAGTAAAGTGAAGCAAACACCTGCCTTGGTAGGAAGGATGCTGTGATAATTCACATGTTGTCTTCAGATGGTGGGTTTAGGCAATGTAACTGTTTAAAATGCTGTTTTATACTGAATATGCTGTTTTGAATTATTGTCAACTACCCAGCCACCAGGAATGAAATATCTTCTGTTACTGGTTTTTCTTCTTTAGGACAAGTACAAGCGTGCCTTGGCAGATGCAGAAAACGTGAGGCAAAGAAGCCAGAAACTGGTAGAAGAGGCAAAGTTATACGGTCAGTGGAGGCTCCTTTTGTGTGTACTCATAAAACCCAGGAAATGCAAAGCCTGGAAAATTGAGCTAACTGGCTCACGTTTTTGACAAGTTGTCTTTCCCAGTGATTCTGACTACTTGGTTAAAAACGTATTTGAGGCAGAGAGGTTTGAACAGTTCCTCAGTTTGAAGCATGCTAGAAACACATCTTTCTTCAGGAGCCAGGCTACTGACATCTGATTTAGCTTTTTGACAGTTCAAACACAAATCTGTAAAACAGAAATTGTATGCAAATACTGCAGAAGAGTGCTCTATCATCTTAGTGTTTGACTGTCACTCTGACTTGAAAAATGAGTTGGCCTTTTTTGGCACACACTATCCACAGCTGTATAGTTTAATTCTGAATATAGAAGTTTTTATTTCTGAATACAGGGTCTTCGGTTAATCTGTACTGTAAGAAAAAGCATTTCTCAGTTAGATACTATTCTTGTACCTTTTCATGGATGTTTGAATGCTTCATCCTGAAGTTGATTTTCAATAAGCATTGTTTCACTAATACGCTACTTAGTGCAGAAGGACTTTGAGTCATGTCTGACCTCAGAGGTGCTACAATAGAAATAACTATTAAAATACAATTTCTCCTGAAAACTAAATTATAGATAATTTGCATGATTGTAAGTTTTATCATTTGTATATGACTGCTTTTTCTGTTGAAGGAAGAGAAACTCATTAATGAGACTTGCATAAATTCACAGAGATGCAGTCACAGATATTTGCAGAGATAAGTTACACCAAAAAAACCCACTCCAAACCACCTTCTGAAGAGTTTGGTTATTTGGTTTGATCCAGATCACTAGACAACTGGTTAATCTATGTTTGGGACACTTCAGCTCTAACCACAGTTTTAGTTTTAATTTAAAACCTTCATTCATTTGTTCATATTTTTGGAACTACTTGGACACTGTTAGTTACTGTTCTATGAAGAGCTCGAGTCTCTACAGAGGTGTGCAGTTGTTAAAGTGACCCTTTCCTGAGAACAAGCTGATCCCTATAGATTTTGCAAGGTGCTTCCATAGGTGTTTTTTTGTTTAAACCGAGGACTTGTCCTCTGGTAATGCGCATATTGCTTCTTGGTAAGGAAAAAAACAACATCTAAAATGTGAGCTAGAATTAAAAGGGCTGGCTGTGGGGAAGGAAAAAAAAACCAACCAAAAACGCTACCAAAATGCAGTGCAGTTTGTCATTGGTTTACCTCTACATATAAATGTGTTACTCTACTGAATCATTTTGATTTTTCATTATTTCTAGAGACAGTTTGCCTTAAGTGAGATTAGTCAGGATTCTTTTAGTGTGAGCCAGAGAACAGCTTCAGGATACGTACTATCGTTAGCTTAGGAATTGCTTGGTCTTTACAAGGCACAGCTTCCGTCTCTGTAAAAGTGGTTTGTAGTGGGAGGGAGAGGTGTGAGTTCTTTTCATTCAAGGAATAATCCCTGTTCATCTCTTGGACTCCTGATCAGTCCAACTACATGGTTTTTCTTCTGTAAATATTTTTAGCACATCAGATTAAAGGGTAGGAATAGGGCAACATAACGCTTTGAACTTTAGGTGAGAGACATGAGGAAATTACATTAAGCCATCTGAAAGTTTTGGTAACTTCAGTTAGAATTTTAACTGTTAATGTCAGGTCATCAGCATAGCTTTAGCTCTTTTTTTAGCTCTTCCATAGAACTAGAGCAGGTGATCTGGATTTCAAGGTCTCTGTAATAGTTCTGGATTATAAAGTAAATTGGAAAGGACATTTTACCCCAAATGTTTACAGTATCATATACCTTGTTAAAAATGTAAAAGAATACAGATTATTGCTGTAGGTTTTGGGGTTGTGTTTTGTTTTGTTTGTTTGTTTGTTTGTTTTTTAATGCTTGCTTCCCTCAGTGGACTAATCCCATTCCCTTCTCTTTTATTTCTTTTTAGGGATTCAGAGCTTCTGTAAGGACTTACTAGAAGTTGCAGACATTCTGGAGAAGGCAACAGAAAGTGTTCCAAAAGAAGAAATCAAGGATGAAAATCCTCATTTGAAGAGCTTATATGAAGGTCTTGTTATGACAGAACTACAGATTCAAAAGGTGTTTAAAAAACATGGCCTGCTCAGACTGGATCCTGTCGGAGCCAAGTTCGATCCCTATGAACATGAAGCATTGTTCCATGCTCCCATGGAAGGGAAGGAGCCTGGCACTATTGCATTAGTATCCAAGATTGGCTATAAGCTGCATGGGCGTACACTGCGGCCTGCCTTGGTGGGTGTTGTGAAAGACGCTTAGCTGCTTAATCTGAGAGTTTAAAATGCCATACAACTATTAAACAGCTTGATGGTTTTTCTCTTACCCCATGCTTTCCTCATTCCTCTGCCCCCTGAGAGGTTTAAATGAATTGGTTGAATTCTCTCAGTGAAAATGAAGCAACTGATGAAATTCTCCTGCTTAGTGGCCTTCAACATCACTGTTCCATAAGCTCTCTTCTGAAGTGTGAAATACAAGAGCCATTAAGGCCTCTAATGCTTTAGGTTAGATAGTTTCTACAACTGTTGCTACCAAAGGTGCATTAAATTGAAAGGAACAAAATGCTCACAAGAATTTTACAATCTCACGTTTATCACTGTGTGTACATTGAAAATCCAAATAGTGGTTCAAACGCTTCCTTTGTTTTGTAGACTCTAACATTGCAGAAGTGGGTGAAGTAGCACAATAACCCATTTCCTGCAAGCATCCATCAGCTTTTACACATTGATGTGATAAATGCCCTTTTTTGTCTATTCAGAAATAATCTCTCTCAACAGCTGAAATTGAAACCTTTGTGAATTCTGACCTGTAAATAAAAGGCAATGAAGAGTAGACATCTGTTGTAATTGTTCAACCCTTTTTGTTCTGTAGTAATATTGACTCAAGAAAACCATCTAATACTTGTATGGCATTGAAGAACCAATGGAATTTATCCTATCTCTGGATTTTTAATTTAATATTGTATAAATTGGTTTAAACAATTTTGATAGTCTTGTAACTTCCAAGCTTTACAATCAGTTTGTTATGCAAACTGTAGTTACAACCCTGCTGAAAGCCCGAATACCCAAAGAAGTGAGTAGCTGAGAGTTTGGTGTGTATATATATATATATATATATATACTGTCTTTTAGAATTACATAAATAATTGCATGTAAGTAAGTAAGTGGCTTAAACAAGAATGTGAACTTAGTTTCATCTTCATTTCTTGCATTTACTCAGGTTGGCTCTTAAGTTGCAACAGAACTTTTCCCATAGGCAGCTCTTGCCGTGTCTAACTCCACCTGCTGCTCCCAATCCTGCAGGGTCAGGCTAAAATACAGTACATGATTAACTGAATGCTTTGTCCTACATTTGTCTGGTCACCTGGATAGGAGCGGATGGAACTTGTCAAATTACACAACTGACAAAGCATCTGTCCTCTTGTATCCTCAAAGACCATACATTTAACACACAGGACAGAAACTTCAAATTTATGCATGTTATTAGCACCTGGTAAACAGTAAGTACTTCTGAATTTCTCACCCTTGTTTCTGGTTGTCTTGGTATTAAGGAGCTTCTTACCTTAAGGTCAAGTATTGATTTTTTTTTTTTTGGTTCAGATGCAGAGTTGCCAAAAGCTTACTGAACACTAGACCTACTACTCCTGGTGAGAAGTGGTTATTTTCTTCCCAGTACTGGTTTGCCTCATGGGAATCAGACAGTTAACTAGAACAACATAAATGCATACTACTGTTTGGGGGTCAGTCATGTTTAAGGATTCGTTAATTCTTTCTTAACTCCGAGAAAGAAAATCAATGCTTTGACTGGGCAGGAGAGGCAGAATAGTTTTTGGTGTGTGTGAGAAGACAACAACAGCGTTAATCTTTTTAAACTAATCAAGTACAGGGATCAAAATGCAAAGATTGAGTGTAAAAGTACAGAAAAAAAAGGGGGATTCCATATACTTAAGTTAAATTTGGAAGGAACTTCCTTCCAGCTGAGTTGAGTTAGAGCACACTGTAGCTGTGTGAAGTTGGATTGAGTTGCACTTTGATTGGAACCCATCCTCAACTGATATGCTGTAAAGGGACCAGGGTTGATTTATATACCTTTTTAAGAACTGTCATCTGTTGTTCTGCCTGCTTCCAACCTCTCTGGATCTAAACTAAATCTAACAACTTCATTAGTATAGAAGTTTCTCCAGTAGGGCAATTAAAACAGAGGGACAGCTTCTTCTCTAGCAGGTGAAGATTTTGTTAATGAGCTTCCCAATGCCTCACACAAACTGTCTTTTTTGGACTACATTACTTCATTCAGGGTGTTCTTAAAACACAAGTTACTGTTAAATGTTCAGCACAAGACTCAAACTAATATCTTTAAAGCTGGTAACTGAGTATCTACCTCATTTAAGCTGTTCCTTTTTCTTGGCCTGCCCTTTCAGAGAGGCTTTCAGCATGGAGAGCTTTGGTCTTACACTGAGAGCTCAAACCACCTCTGGGCTCTGCCATATGACAGAAGAAGTAATGAAGAAATCAAAGAAGAGAGGGAGGTGGTTCTGAAATTTAAGAGTAAGAGCAGCCAACAAAGCTACCACCAGTACCTCTGGTTTAGCTATTTCATAAAGACCACTTCTCCACCCATCCTTTAGCTAAAATGCATCTTCATTTGTTATTGCAAAGACTTCAGCCATTTTCCTCATTACACAAGCTACATTACCATTAAATCAATAATGGAAAGAAACTTTAATACAAGTTTATTTACCAATATACAATGCAAAAACCTAGTAAAATGCTGAGTGTGCACAACATCAGTTAGGCTTTACATGATTTCAGCACAGGCATTTGCGTGTCTGGCACAGCTACACCAGTACACAATTCAAATGAGTGCAACATTCCCTTTAAGGAAGAAGCTGATGAGCTGAACATGCTCACCAGGTATCTTCCTTCACAGTATTTAATGTGTCATCACTTAAGAGCAACTGGGGCACATGCAAAAACCTTTTGCAAGAAGAGATAGTAAACTGAAAGGCTAGTGAAGTCTGTTACAGTTGCAAAGAAATTTGATGCAGCCACTGCACAAGAGAATAATGGCAGTGCTTAGTTTGTGATTTACAAGGCAGTTTATGGTCAAAGATTCGTGCAAACCTACTAACGCTGTTCTTAATGCTTGCTGGGACTGCAATGGAACACAGGGCAGGAGGGTCTGCACCCAGAATACTCTGTAACAAGCCCTTCTGCACTGGGTAGTACACACAGAATGGGGATTAATGCTCCCTTGTTACCTAGTGAGCAAATATTACTGTAAAACATCACTGGGACTGGACTGAAGTAAACATACAGCATTAAAACAGACGTATTGTTGCCTCTAATCAGTAGCAGAAGATCAGTATTTTCAACAGCTTATGGAGTGTCACTTTTTCATAGGCTTACATCAATGCTGTTAGAACAGATACTATAATTAGTAATATCTTTAATTAGAAAAGTCAAGAGCATAAAGCATATAAAACACCTTTTCATTAGCAACATGAAGGCTAGGTTATTTGTACAGTACAGGAATCACTTCCAGATCAACATAAGATACAAGTTGAAGAGCGCTTTCCTATGTTTTTTCTCAGCCCCTTCACCACAGAAGAGAAGCAGCGTAGCTCTGGTAAGTTGCTGGATTAACATAACTGCATCTCAACTTAAAAACAAACAAACAAACACAAAACAGCAGCTCATAACAAAGGAATGCTTAGACTAAATCAGTTCCATGTGAAAATATGGAACAGCAGCATCCTCTAGTGCAAGTCACCTTTAAAATTAAAAGCATAGCTGACAATGAGACATTGCTTCTAGGGAAGCCCTTTCCAAGGGACTAGTATTTGCTAAAGCAAACATTTACCACCTTGAATTTGCTTGCAAGTATAAAATAAATATTGATATCCATATTTCATACATTAAAAATACTTTATTTTACATTCATTTTGATGTTCAATAAGTTACGTCTAGCACCAAAGAAACATTTTGGCGGGGCTGAGGAATTGAGAAACTATGAAGTGTAAATGCAGAATTCACTTCAACATGTAAATGACTCATTGGTGCCTAGATTATTTTTTTTAAAGTATTGTTCAGATGGGCTTTTGACTATTGCTTCAGTTAGACTTAAATGTGCCAACAGTGTAGAAATATAAAAATCACAGATTTGGAAAAAAAATTAAAAAAAAACCAAAACCCAATTCTTTTAACCTCCCAGCTACATGCAGAGTTGAGGTTCCAGAACACTATCTTTAATGGTATGTTATGGCGGTTGGGTAACAAGTTACAGGAAGAACCAAATTGCATAACTAGAATACTGGAAAGAAAGGCTGAGCTTCCTTTCCACAGGAGTAGGACACAGAAAATAACTAAGTGTTTATACCTTATGAACTTGTGTGCTGTTTGTACATGCATATAGGGTGGAAGTGGTTCTTAAAGCTACTCAGCACATTGCAGTTAGTTCCACTGCTGCCAAGGAGAGACAGTTTTGTCTCAAATATTTCACAACAAGCCACTTACGGGTAAGCCAAACAAAGTATTACATCTGAGAGGACATAGCCCTTACCTTTCTGAAAGGACATAACATCACAAGCTCAAAAGAAAAAGGCACTACAGTTTTGGTTTTTTCTTCCTTAGAAATGCTGGCTTTGTAATTGTACCCCTTTTATTCTAAACTCACTGGTAACACTATTTTGGTAATGCTGGATATGTTAACTAAAACCCAGTTCTAATCAGTATACCTCTGCCAAGTTGCAGAATTAACACTGTTTCAAGATTTTGTGGTATCCTCACTGACTACAGCCCAAAGCATGAAACCAAGATGACATTTCCAGTGCTTGCGCTTGTTCTGAAGCCAGTCAAGTTCCATGTTTTGGCACACCTGCACTCCAGAAGACCTGCCCAACTGGCTTCCGGTCACAGCTTACGGCTCTGGACATGACCAGTAGAGAGGCTTAGGCATGAGTAACACTTTGCCGCCTTCCATGTGGCAACCACCATTTTTTATTCATTTGGTTAAATACCAGCACAGGAGTTTAAGGATGAAATGAGCATAAAACTCCTTTTCTAGTCCTCCTTCAACATCTTTCCCTTAATCGGTAGATCTTACTAAAACAGTACCGAGGATCAGCACTTCTGTTACACGCCGTGTTACATCACCAGCTGGTGCTTGTCGCAGGCATCCAGCTCAGACTGTAGTCGTTGTGACGAGCTACCTCTCAAGGGGCACTGTCCTCACTGCAGTGGGCTGCATTCACAGTTCTACCATGTCAGTAATTTCAACTTCAACACGTTTAGTCCAGTACGTTTCAAGGTATGTGCAATTAGAACCCTGTAATGGCTTGATTTACAGCTCCGCACTTTAGGAGCACATTAGCTGTGCATTTTGACCTGATCTGCATCACTTCTCATTTTTGTTTTTAAGAGCTAATCTCAGTGATCACACTCTGTTTGAGAATCTCGCTCCCTTTCCCTGTCCCTCCCAATCACATTCAGGAAGAGGCAGCTACACCTCCTCAGCCCATACAAGCTCAGAAGTTACAGATACCAAAAAAGGAGGAGTGGGCTCCTCCAACAAGAGGAAACGGCGATTTTGCTGCCTGGGCTCCCAACCACTGCAGGACAACTCACTGCCTGTTTTCCCAAACCCCACTTCTGGCCCAAATCAGCCACTTCACAGTAGTGCTGACCCCTCCTCCGGACAGAGCACCACAGCTGCCCTGTACTCCTGCAACTTTGCTACCAGTTAGTTAACATCAAAGCTTCAGTGGGGTCTGTTTCAGCAAAAACTCATGTCAAAACTATGTCCAGATCAGCTGGGTGTGAAGGTAGCTCTTCAAGAACCCTTTCCACAGCACAAGTACCTGAAGGCATCTCACCTACCACACTTCTTTCCTTCCACTCCCTGCCATGGCTCATCCCTGCTGTACTCTGGACAGAAACTCTCACCCTGCTGTCCCAGCGCCTTGGCTGTAGTTACTAAGGAGAATGTTCTGAAAGCTTAGCAGTGGTCACAAAAATCCCTGCTCGCCACGCTCCTGAGCTCAGGACTTTTGTAAGCTTCACTTTGCTGCCAGCATTACACCAAAAAACAAAACAAAGGGAGAAGAAAGTTTCCGGCAAATGAAACCATCTCCCACCTTCAAAGAAAAGCAAGGATTACACAGATACTCATTTGTCCAGTAGTAAGGAGTAAAGTAACTACTCTGGGACTACTGGACTTGAGTAAGTTCACATGAAAGAAATCCATTCTAATAATGTACCAAAAGCAGTGACATCCAATGTATAAGTTTCACAATTAAGATTTTCCACGATCCAAAGCAAAAGTCTATTTGAACCATGGATCATGAATACTGTGGGGGTTTATGTTAGTTGCTTTTTTTGTTTGTTTCCAAGTGACATAATTTCTGTATCTCTGGGGAGGGAAGGAAAAAATAACACCGTCCTTGAGGCTACAATGGGCCTCTGCTGTGTTTTTTCAGATCAGCTGAGTTTCATGAAGCATCCCTGGATATCCAACCACTTTCTGTTAGAAAGTTTAAAATCCTTTTCTTCAGTACCTTATCTAAGTAACTGGGAAGACGACTCTTTGAGGGAATTCCTTGTCTTTTCTGGAGATGGTCTTTAATGATTATAGTTTTTACTGTCACGTAACGTGCAGGACTCAAATTTAGAGAGCTGCAGAGCACCTTTTCCCTGTCCGATAAGAGTTCAAAGCCAGGCAGGTTTTCAATGGCAGCAAATTCACCTTCTTTACCATCTTCCTTCCCTCTCTTGGAACTAGCTATGTTTTTGTTCTCCTTCCTCTTTTCCCGTTTATGCCTGGCTGCCTCATATTCTGCCGACTCTTCCATTTTGGTGATTCCGTTTCGACGATACCGCTGCAGCTCCCGAATCTTTGCTCGAAGTATCCTCTCCTTGTGCATGTTCTCAAAGAAGTCTTCAAACTCCTTACAAGACATGAACTGGTACAGAGGCCTCAGTTTCAGCCTCAACTCCTTCTCTTCTTTTGTGATCTTTCGTTTGGGAGCTTTCTCCTTGTCCTTTTTATCCTTCCCCAGAAAGGCCGGTACCAAGTTATAGTCTCGTGCAATGTTCTTCCGCCGTTGCCTCTCCTTGAGTTTCCTTACGTACATATCTACATGAGCTCTTTTTAACTCTATTTCCACGTCATCATCGTCATAGTTCACCGAAAGGCCACTGATCAGAGTCTCTGCATCTTGATCATATTCGATCTCATAGTCATCCCGAAGCGGCATGTATCCCAACTGCTGCTGTTCGGCCACTGATATATCCAACGGTGGGAGCGGCGTGGTCAAGCTAGGAGAAAGCGGGCCGCCACTGGGACATGTGTGATCCGTTACTCTGTTCGGAATGGTGTCAGGGATGCAGGCTTTTCCCAGGTTGCCATGGATATACATGCTCACATAGTGTTCCATCACCTCCTGAGGCGTTCGGGATGCTCCCACGTGAGCAGCCATGTCCTCCTAAATGGAAAACAAGGAGTGATAAAATGATTTCCGTTACATCTCCAGCATAACGTGCAGTCAGGTAAGAGCATGGCTTTTTCTTCCCTGCTCCTCAAAGGCCAACTCGCAATACCTAAACTCTTCAAGCAGATCTGCGTTTTTGGGTCCAGATAAGTATTTGCAAGCGCACAGGGGCAGGCAAGCCATGAAAACAGCACCAGGAACATCACTAAGGCAAGCTGCATCAGATCCTCTGGGTACAGGAACACCATCGAGACACCGGGTCCACATGGTGATTCCTGAGCATCCACCGCTCTCTCAAGAAGTCAGCTTACCACCAGCAGGAAGCTTTCCAAGTCCCAAGCCAGCACCGAGATCACTACATCGTTTGGATTTTGCTTATTTACACTGCATTGCTGAAGTACTTTTAGAGCAATACGGAGATACAGACCAACAGCATTCACTCATTTCTAGTTCTTTAAGAACTGAAACGAGCTACAGTCATCATAAGCTTCAAGATGGTGAACAAGTCTTTACGTTTAATGAAGCAAAGCACAATCAGGTAACAGCTAACGAATCAAACGGCGATGCTTTTTCCTGCTATTTTTTAAAAACGAGCCTGACTCGTATGCTGACGCAGAAGGCAAGCAGCGAGTTTACAGCCGTGACACGCCGAAGGAAAAGACCAAACACCGCGAGGAAGAGGGTAGCAGATCCCCAGCACCAACGGGCCGGGGCAGAGGCTGGAACTTCAGGTAGCGACGCAGGACACGGACACGGCTCTGCCGAGCGGGGCGGCGCAGCGGGGCCCTCCTGTCAGGCCCGCCCGCCTCCCCCGCTGCTGCCG